CAGAGTTTTCATCAAGATTATTTTGGTGATAGAGATTTCAGATAGGAAAAATCTGGTAACTGAGCAATTAAGCACATGTGAACCTGTAGGAGCTTGAAATTGTTTCGTTCTTGCACACACATGTAGGCGTGATGTAAAATGTGCATTTGTTCCTATCTATCCCTTTTCATCCAGAATGTATGACGTAGCCTAGATGCATGGTCACACATATAGTGGATAAGTATCTGCTTGCGTTGGTATTCAAGCGTGAGGATAGGGTACGGCAAGAACTGTGGTTTTAAGACTGACTGGTGTATCTATTATTGTACAGCACCAGTGCTTTCATAATTCGGTAAAATAGCGGAAATCAGCAGGGCTAGTGTCTGGACAATCCAGACTGACACGAGAAGCTTTAATAGGAGTGACAAGACGGCTTCATGATGACGTGAAAGGACTGAGAGATCACCAGCCACTTAGGGACAGAGACAATGAGCTAGAGCGGGGTAGGCTTGCTCTACTAAACCAATCAGGCTCATCCCAAAATGCTCAGCAGAGAAGGCAAATTGTATGGTGGCTGTGCAGTAGCATCTCCGTTGAGGATCCATGTTATTGCGCCTACCACAATACAGGAACAATTTCTATTCTAAATTCTCTTTACCCTAGCTTTTCAGACTCCTATTTGATGAAGAAAAGAGAACGCATGAGGCATTAGAGGGTGCCTACTGGATGAAGGTATATCAGTGGTGAGTTGTTAACTCACTCTCCTCACAGATTGAGCCACTATTTTGGTATAAGGACTACAACACATTTTTGGCGAGCGAAGCTAACAGTTCAAATTTCCGTGTGTTTCACTCGTACTTAGAATCAAGTATAACATTACGGTATGTGGCAGTGCCAGGGTGCCCACACAGAAAAATCATATCCATGACGACGTTCTCTAATTAGGGCGCAGCTGCTCCAGCCTGTAAAGCCAAACAGTGTCTGCAGTTTCCTTCGACCTCTGAGGTACATACACTTTTAAACCTGTGTCTCTGACCGGCGACCAGCCATCTGTGCAGTCTTGTAGGCAGGGATGTGTGTGTCTCTGACCGGCAACCAGCCATCTGTGCGGTCTTGTAGGCAGGGATGTGTGTGTGTCTCTGACTGGCGACCAGCCATCTGTGCGGTCTTGTAGGCAGGGTCGTGTGTATGTGTGTCTCCAACCGGCGACCAAGGTGCTTCGTGAAGTTATTAGGATCAGAATGAAAAAAGTACTCAACTAAACCAACTTTCACTGGGTGGACATGAGTCCTGGATGATGGGTTGCTCCAATAAGCCATTATTGCTGGTGATCTCTGTGAACGTGAACGAATGGATATGAAATGTTCACTAAGCACTTGAAGGTCACTGAAGAGAAGATGTTTACGAGGAACGTGGGATATACGGAAAACTAATGTTGTACATTTGTGTTAAACTTTCAATATCACTGTCACAAAAGTACTTCTCCAACACTTTTCCACATGGCTCATGCAGATCTAAGCACTCGCTGTTTATATAGCAAGCTTCAAATGTGATATTTTTCTTGTAAGAAGACAGGGAGTAAGGGTTGCATTTTGTATGCTGCAGTGAGCCACCACTGTCTACTTGAGTACATAAAGAGGCAAAGTCAGAAAGCTCGGGAATGTTGTTCATAGTCATAAGCTCCTGAAAACTAAGAAATTTCAGATAAGTAAAAACGAGCCCTTAGATCAAGACAACAGCGGGTGTGTTACAGACACATGCATTGTGTATGTTATGCAGCTGTTGGAGCGTCGTTCACGTTTTGTTACTGACTCAGAGGCTTCATTGTGGAGTGATGTGACACCACCAGATGTCAGATGAAGAGCCAATGCCTTGCTAGAAGACGTCCATCATGGCAGAGCGAGACCTTCAATGAGTTCATGGAGACATTGGACCAAATGGCAAACACCTCCTTAAAAAAATCAGCCAGGAAGGAAAGGATTCTATCAACACCGATAGACAGTTCTCCTCCTGCTAATATCAAAGACTGGATGATCAAAAGAACAGAGGATACAGACATCTCTCAGTGACTTTCACTATCTCTTTGTTCATTGTGTTGTATTTTAAAAGTCTTCACGAGAAATTATACAGCAATTATACAGTGTGGTGCACTAGTTGTACCCATGAGTATACTCTTGTTTTGCATGTGTTATACAAAGGATGTATCTCCCAATGTCCTCAGGCATATTCATGGTGTGTATAGCATCCTCTTGCACAGGATAAACATAGGTGTACACAGTCAGTCTACACCCCTGTATTCCACATGGATTACAGTGAAAAACACATGTTTTACTATGGTGTATAAGTTCTTTTTTTCACTGTCAGTGCTCATCTCCTTCCGGCTGTGTTTGAAGCACAATTGAAAGGATGCCCAAGACCGAAAATGTGTTCACCACAGCCAGAGGACAAGACCATACATACTTTTTCACACTCATTAACACTATGGTTAAGTGCTTTCTTGTTGTGGCATAATTTGAATTTAGCTACCCATTTGTACTTTTCGAAACACCTACTCCGATCTAGGAAGATGTCCAACAAACTGATGTGGACAGCAAAAGGTTCAGAACATCTGTACGAACACTTCTCATCTTACACCCCAATAGGCATATTTATGGATTTCGCACACTAAACCTGAATGGACCTAATGATTAGGTGTGTGTAATTGTAAATTTTCATGAGTATAGGGACGTTACAAAAGGAAAGAAGACAGAATAGGGATGAGATATGACATTGGAGAGTCGACACAGTATAGGCCTCAATAAATCTTTCCTATTTGTCACTCTCACTTATGAGATTTGATCCACTACAAGACCAAGACAACTCAGACACTAAAGCCACTGACCCTCGTTAGTAACAACAGGGAAAAATGAAGAAAAAATGTGACTTGTTCAACAGAAATAACACAAATATGTAGAAGCAAGTTCTATGTATGCAGTACAAGACCAAGACAACTCAGATACCAAAGCCATGTAGCAACAACGGAGAAAACTGAAGAGAAATGTCACTTGTTCAAGTAACTCTCCTCAGAGGAACTGGGGGAGACATTTTCAACAAAAAGGGTCAACTCCAGAAAGGCTTGTTCAGAAGGGGCTGCAGGAGAAGGTGCTATGTTTATACGAATCAGCAGTTACACTCTATACTCAACAATGGCTGTAAAGTGCAAAATATTTGGTGAAATGCTCCAATTTTACGGCAATCTTAACTAGGGCCACCTGGTGAAAATAGTTAAGAAGGCAAACAATGTCGCATCTTAATCAGTTGCACAAACCAGTAGAAGGATGGAGAGGACACCCCATGCAATAGCCTGGGAACTCCGACTAGCGGAAGCCCCCACCGTCGACACGTGCGTGACAACCACAGAAGAAATATCACCTAAGGAGCAAAGTGAAGCCCCCAAAACGACTCCGCTCAAAGCTTGGCACAAGCTTCAACTGAGGGGAGGGGGTAGTGTTGCGGACCTCGCTGTGTATTGTGACTGTAACTAATGAACTATGAATATTCATTGTTAGCCAGGTATCATACTGCGCATGTCTGGAGACAGGACACCCTCACAGGAGGTAAGATTGAAACACGGCAGCCTGTCTGTTAGGGAGTGACTCCGAGGAAGAAGAGGCTGAATTAATAATAGATCTGGTTAAGTCCTCCCTTCCCTCAAACAAGAGATTTAGTATTGCTTGTTGAAAAATGGCAGGATTTAAGATAAACACTTCTGCTTCACAATATATAGTAGGCGAATGCATGGAATTTTTGGCGAGCGGGAGCGAGCACACAATGACTGCGTATGTGCACCAGCCTATTTACAACTTCAACCTTAGACCCACGAAGATTGGTATACAGCCTTGGTCAGGTATCGAAGCGTGCAGTGAATGACAGCGAATAGACGAGCATTCTTTCGCTGGCTAGATTTCGCAAAGAATATACCGGTGGAGGCGAAGAAATCGATGGTAACGAAAGACATGTCACAACTTGCACAGTACATGTGTACACTGGGTTCGAAAGGAGAATACCTTGCTAAACCACATAGTTGTGTATGTATATAAGTCAGTTCTGACTCCACACCTTGTATTGTTGTGTATGTAAGTCACCTCTGTAGTAGTTCTGACTCCACACCTTGTATTATTTATTGTTTCATGCAACTCAGACCCAGGTACGTATATAATGGAGATTAACCTAGCATTCTTTATCAATATCCTGTATCCTATACTCTATCACGAGTGTAACCCCACCACTAGGAAGATAACCCAGAGGCTTGCCCCCGCTGGGTTGAGGGCCGGGGATTTTACCAACCCCCCCTGAAAATCAGAGGCAGGGTCACCCATCAGGTGAGAGCCTGGGAGAGATTTAAAGGAGGAGTGATAAACTCAGTTGGGCGGTCTTTTGTCCGCACTCATGTGAGCATTAAGAAATGCAAAGCCAACGTTTTTTATCTTATTCAACTATACTTCCCGTGGAACTCATCCTAATTAAAGCACACCCTTGAAATAAGGCCACATCTCTATTAAGGACACCATTTCTTTCTACACAGTTGTTTTCCTATGTGACCCCGAGTGTCTGGTGAGACTGATCATGGACTTTCACTCCATCTCTTTTGAAGAGGTCAGTGTTCAATATCGACTGTGTTATCTTAACCAATTAACGGCCGCATTTACGCGCACCCGCGCATGCGTGAACGCCGCATAAAATTGAAGTGTATGGTCAGATGAAGCGTGCTCTAAAAAAGCAGCTGTAGCTCAAAAACCACAAAACTTTTGTGGGAGAAGTTAGCATTTTTAGAACCCTAAGAGCACGTGCTCCAACTTGACGTGCAAGATGGCCGCTCGTCTTTCCCAAGATCCTGCGGGACAACTCGAGCGGTAAGTGAATTGCGTAAGTAGCGACTATTTTCAGTATGTATGAACAGCCTGGGCTCTTCTTTGCCTGCTTTAGCAAACGCACGAAGGTGTCCTTTTCTCTAGGCATGCTATAGTACCATATACGTACCTGGTAGTTTCGTGCGAAAGGCTGGAAGCCGACTCTCTTTACGCGTATTTCACCCACGCGGCGTGTATGACTTCTTTCAAAGCTTTCTCTGTCCCTGCAGGTGACGTCCTGGAGCCAGCTGCCACTTGCAGTGTGTTGTACCACAGCTAGCCTTTTGCCTACGTAGCCTACAAAGCTAGCCTAGCTATTCTACGAACAGCTGCACGCTTTTTTCAGTGCGTTGTCATCACAAGCAGCACACACGCAGCAGACAGTGTTGTTTTATGAAGTCATAGTGTTTTTGAGAGTGTTTATTGTTGGCAAGTGAAGAGTTTTGATAGTTTCCTACATGGAGAAGCAGTGTGGAGTACCTGAGTATTATCTGTGCTGAAGCAGCTCCTTCGCTAGAGAGGAGACTCGTCGTTGTGTGCGCGTGGGGTGTTAGCGGTTTTTTTACTGGAGTTCTTGGAGATCGTTTGTATGACGAAGGGTTCAAAGGTTCCTGAATGGGAAGCCCCACCCTTCTTGTCAACGCCTACGAGGCAAGAGCTGTCTATGTTAGTATACGGAGGCGCTAGCACCGTCTTCTCGGACTATACTAAAGTTGCGCAAATTTGCGTCTATGGCGGTTAAAGGGGGTACGCGGTATTGCACAAATATGCGTCTATGGCGGTTAATCGGTTAAGTTGCACATGGGGTCATCTCTGATATAAGGTAACAGAGGAGAAATCCAGGAGTAAGAAAATAGATAGTGTTGTCAAAAGTGAATTAGACCAACACTTAAACAATACTCACAACTAGCTTAGCTGTTTTCCTACCTCCAGGAAGAGTGGTGCTAGCCTGCAGGAGTACAGGGAGGTCATAGATGGCTTCAGGAATTCCCAGGGACGGAGACCTGGCCAGGGCTCTGACTGAGCTGGATGGCCTAGCTGTCAACACCAGCCAAGCACAGGAGATTGAACATCTCTACAACAGGCTGGTGTACTACACTGCATACAATCTTTTTCCACCCTCGTCGGCAATTCCGAGGCATAATTGCCCGAAAAAAGCAGTCAAGGCATGTGTTTAAGCCATCCAAAGCTCAATCACATCGTAGCAGCTCATTCTTAATTTTCCAAACTTCAGGTGCTTTCTTTCGGCTGCATCACAAGCTTCTTCACCCTCAAAAAGCCGTCTTGTTCAGGCAATTTGCTTACAGCTATGTGATTTAATCACACAGCCAATGAAGAGCAAGTTGACTAGCGGACAGCAGGTCTATATTCAAGGTGGAAGGCAGTCCTCTCGAGTAAAACAACATTTGGCTACTTCAAAGCCACGTTATTTTGGAGAGGACCGGCTCTACCTATGTTCCAGTTCCTCCTCCGCCGAGGCTCATCCTCATCAGCTCTACCCCAAGCTGTTGCCAATGTCCAGATGCAACAATAGGTGTCTTGGACAGCAGAGTGGAGGCGGGAAAAAAAGGAATAAGCAGAGAAACACGTACACTTGCAGAATATGCAGTGAACCAATGTGGTCTGCTGGACACACACAGGTCAGGGGACAAAGGTACTGCTCCTTTGCAACAGGACAAATTCCAAGGGAAGAGAGAGTGGCGAGAGTGGCCCATGAGGGCCACTACATGTGATCAGGCTAGAGCGCGCACGCACTGTACGTCGTCGTTGTGCACATGCGTCGATATTACGCGCTTCTTTTGGCGCGTGTGCTCGACCGGCTAGCCCCACCCCCCACAGGCAGCAAGGGGAGCACGGCGGCACACTTGGCCTCTCACCGATGGACCAGAACGTACACGGCTCCGCTGGCACGACGCCGCAAGACATACTTTCGCGGTCGTCCTTCGAGCTCACTCCCACTCCGTCAAGGGGCCGGGGCCGTGACCGCGGCTTACGAAGACGAGAACTAGCTGGACCGGGTTTCGTTGGCACGACAGCAGAAGAGATTGCCATCTCGACGATCGGCGGCCGCAGCTTCGATCATCAGCAGCAACGGCTACCAGTGGTAGTTGGGGAGTAACTTGGAGGCGGAGCGCAAGTGCAGGACGGAGGAGGGCGAAGCCGAGGGAAGGCCAGAGAGCTAGATACTATAATATTATACCACAAAGACTACAAAAAGAAAGATTTGCCCGTCGTCGACCGTGCACCCACCCACTCCCCCATCTCCCTCCGCAACTACCTCACTGAGGGGGGCATCTGAGGAAGTTTGGAGAGAGCTCTGTGATACATAACCTCCTTTTTCAACGAGGACCAATCCACGGCCAGCATGGAGCCTGCACGGGTCCCAGTCCCACTCCGACCTCTCTTCACGCACCTCCGCACCACAAGGAAGGAGCATGTCAACTTGCTACCGAATGGGGCAGGCAAGTCATTCGCATCGAGAATATATTCAACCCTGGATCTGGATATGGATATGAATGTGAGGACATCCACCACCAACGACCCCCGTAGTGACTCATGTGGGGTGGATGCTAAGGGGGTGGTGGATGTGGCGGTGGTGAGTTGAGGGGCGTGGTCGGTTGTAAGAGAGATCAAGGGAGGCGAGGCATAAATGTCCAAAAGTTTGCGCGTCCGTAACTCGCTCAGTATATGCTACAATTACGGACAAAGTACAGGGACGACACTAAATGCCAGGCCTTGTTTTTGAGCTATCAACTAGTCCACATGTTTTCATTGAAGGAGACAAATGCTGCTGAGTATGCCATGGTGAAGAATGACCGAACTGTGTGTCGATGGCGGAGTAGTGTAATTGAGAATGATAGAATTCTTCCCGAATCTCAGCAAGGCCGTTACCGACATAGTGGAGTATTGTGGCAGAACGAGGAGCTCAGCAAGAAGGCTACAGAGTATGTGCGACAAAATGCTGCTGTAAAAGGATGTCCTAATCTTACAAGTGCTGATTTTTGTCGGTGGGTCAATGACAGCCTTCTTCCCCAGCCCACTCTTGAGCCAGGGTTCCCAACAAAGATCAGCATCGAGACAGCTCGCCTCTGGCTCCATCACCTTGGGTTTGAAGTCCTGACAGCCCAGAAGGGAATCTTCATCGACGGTCATGAGCGCTCTCACGTGATCGAAACACGCAAGCTTTTCTTTCATGAAATGGCGAAGATCGGCTTCTTGCATTTCACTAATGCACCAATAGAAGAGGCAGTCAAATCACTTCCAGATGTTGATTGCCCCACAAGTGAGATACGTTTCCATGACGAGTCAACTTTCATGTTAAATGAAGACCAGCCAGTGGGGCATGAAATGGGACAAAATGATTAAACCAAAAAGCAAAGGAGCTAGCTAGCATCATGGTATCAGATTTTGTGGACGAACATAACGGGTTCCTTGCTCTATCCGACGCTGAACACAATCGAGCAAGAATCTTCGCATACACAAGTACGCACGTGAATTTTTAGAATATGAAGAGAGCAGGGAAGGCTATTGGACACTGGACAGGTTCATCAAACAAATGGAGAGGGCAATAGAGATTGCAGAGATCAAGTATCCGAAGGAGGGTGGGTGGAGACACATGTGGGTCTTTGACCTCAGCAGTTGTCATGCTGCCACGGTTGATGAAGCACTGGACGTCAACAGAATGAATGTGAGGCCAGGGGGAAAACAACGGATTTTGCGAGACACCACATGGAATGGTAGGGTTTGGAAGTTGTATAACACGGAGAGGGATGGGAAGAAAGTAGCAAAGGGTTGAAGATGGTCCTGGAAGAGCGTGGCGTATCAACTGCCGGAAAGAGTGCAGACTGGATGAGAAAAACTCTTGGTGAACAGTCTGACTTCAAAAACAAAAAGAGTATGGTAGAGCGAACGCTAGTTCAGAAAGGGTATATCCCTTGCTTTTTACCAAAGTTCCATCCCGAGTTGAATCCTATCGAGAGGGTGTGGGCACAGCGATACATCAAGGCCCACTGCAAATACTCACTTCCTTCGTTGCGTAAAAACATCCCTCTTGCATATGACTCTGTCACCCTTGAGAACATCCAGAACCACTTTCATAAGGTGTGGCACTATATGTTTTGCTATTTGGAGGGATTCACACCAGGGAAAGAGCTCGACCAGACTCTTGTAAAGCACAAGTCTGCCGTGAAATCTCACCGACACATCAGCATCTGTGAGTAACTTTTTGTAACCAGCACAAAAACTGCTTACAAACCTTTTCTTTTTGTTTTGCTTCTATGTCATGTGTACATTTATGTTTTATGTATCTTGATGCTGATATGATACCATATCACTGTGGAAATATATATGAAGATATAAAAACATACATTTATAGCTCTATATAAAAGGCTTTTGTTTCATCCCATTAGGAGCTACTTTGTTGAAGTAGTTGGGCTAGCCACATAGGTAGTCAATAATTAAGTCCAAATCGAGGCTTGTTGTTATTAATAAAAATGTTTCTACTACCATAAAAAAATTTTGAAAAACGTTTCAGTTAGATTTTCACTTAGGAAATAGGGGTCAAAGGTCAGAGCCATTTCCTTGGAAACGAACCCGCCCAATTTAAAGCGATAACAGTTCTTCACGTTATCTGCAAGTTTTAAGAGATGTGGTTGCCACCTGCCAAAAGGCATATGCATCACAGAAGGGGTTTAACTCACATGTCCTAAAAGAAAGACATTTTCCTGTACCCCTTCCTTTACATAAAGGGTACCTTCACAATCACTATTTATATTAAAATGGACAATGTCTGGGTGAACTATACAGCTGCTGGCCGCCATGAGTGCGAGGAGGAGGACAAAAGGGAGCAGGCCCTATGGTAAGTAATGGTTAAGGTATAGGTGGCGAGGCGGTACAGGATATAATCCGAGGCTGTTTACTTACTGGACGAAGGCGGAGCTCAAGGTCACGTATTCTAAACAGCCGATGTAGTTTAACCCTTGGTTAAACGAGGTTAATAGGGAGGTGCCTCCAGGCCACAACGTCACACAGGGTAGCGCACATGCGTCAGCAAGGCTGGTCACCTATGAAAGCTAGAAACGGACCAGTCCGCGCGCTCGGCATCAGCTCACCAGGGCCTCCTTGTGCAGCAGCCAGCAAAATATCCCCCTGGATCGGACGCAGCTATAAGAGGTCGCAGCGATATTCGGCGCCGAGATGGCTGATCCAACGGCGACAACAACGTCCAGGGCAACCACAACGGCCGCCGCCAGGAGCAGTGGCGGTGGCGGACTAGGCCTGGACCCAACCATCGTCGAAGCTCTCCGGGTGGCAGTGCAGGCGGAGGTCAGTGCAGCGCTCTCTCTTGCTCCTCCAGGTTCTGTGGCAGGCCCCTCTGTGTTTCCATCCGCCGCCGCCTTAGGAACCCCTCTCCTTCCCGCAGCATCCTCAGCGACATCTGGTGAGTTGACCGCCCAGTATGGACAGTACAGACGATACGAACGTTGCCGGGCCTAGACGCGCACTAGGCTCATGCGGACAGACAGACCGCCACGCAATCCAGTGCCAAGCTAGGCCGGGCAGTTCAGCCGCGCAATCCAGTGCCAAGCTAGGCCGGGCAGGCCTACAGTTCAGCCTAGCAATCCAGTGCCAAGCTATGCTGGGCAGGCCTACAGACTAGCCGTGGAATCATGTGCCAAGCTAGGCAACCTAGGCCTTTTACAGACCACTGCGACCCAAGGGTCTCGGTGGTCTTGCTTGCCCTAACCTGCCAGCAAAGGTCATCAGGCCTGTCACCACTTTGTT